ACTCAAGAAATCCTCCTGCCTCAGCCTCCCAAAGTGCTGTGATTACAGGCGTGAGCCACCACATCCAGTCTATTAAGCTCTTACTAAGTGCCATGCACTGTGCTACATACTGCAGACATGTTAATTTTGAGGTGCTTTTGAGTCACCCATAAGAGGAGATGTCCATGGGAAAAATCTAGGCTATAGATATAAATTTGTGGGTCATCTGAAAATAGGTGGTAACTGGACATGCAAAAATGGGGAGGATCACCTAGAGAGAGCTAAATCCCAGACTGGGAATGAGTATTATAGGAAGAATCTACAGTCTACATTCTATGGCCTATCAATCCAGCAGGCAAGTTTACTACACTAAACTCAAATTCAGTAAAAGCTAACCTCCTTTCTTTTACTGACCTATACCGCAAACCACTATATTTTCTTCAGGTTATAAGGGGACATATACTGAGAATTTATGTGCATCTCATTTTTAGCTTCAATGCTAGCACTTGGAAAGGCGAGAACTCACCTGGTTTCCTCTTTGATCTACAGATTCTTTGTAGCAGATGAGGAGAGGGCCAATGAGTCCTGAAGCTAGATCTCTCTCCATATTAATGAAACTAGAGTAATAGCGTGTCAGGCACCGAGGATCTGATTTAGTTGGCCCGTCTTCTACAGTCACTGTCCACTTATATTTGAATATTTCTCCTGGCAGAATTGGAAAATCCTTCAAATGTTTTACACCTACCCACAAGCAAACCCAGAAATAGCTCAATTAGAGTACAGCAAGCCACATATTGGTAATCATGTTGTTATTGCAAGGGTTCTACAAATCAGCAAGTGGAAGCTAAAGTCACACATTATAATTTTAAGATTCACACAATTTTTTTAAAAAAGTAAAAAGCTGTCATTGATGGGCATTTGGGTTGGTTCCAAATCTTTGCTATTGTGAACAGTGCCACAATAAACATATGTGTGCATGTGTCTTTATAATAGAATGATTTATAATCCTTTGGGCATATACCTAGTAATGGGATTGCTGGGTCAAATGGTATTTCTAGTTCTAGATCCTTGAGGAATTGCCACACTGTCTTCCACAATTGTTGAACTAATTTACACTCTCACCAAACTTAATGTATATATAAAAAAGTAAAAAGCTGTAATTGATTATCTGGTTCACTGTGAAAGTTTCAGGTCTGAATATACGCCAAAGAGCTTGGCATTGGAGTTTTAAGATGTAGTATCTGACCTCTGTGAGGAAAGGAAGCAAGAACTAAGATCTGCCTTCAAGGTAAAGGATCCTTAGGACAAGAACTGATTTTAGTAATTAAGCCTCATTTTGGGTATGTTTAATACCTGAAGATTCAATACAAATCAAAATTATAATTTTATATTCATTCTAAGCTCTTCCTCATCTTACTAGGTTATGCCTGATATATGGTTAAAGAACCTATAGAAAGGGAATGGTGTTGAGGTCAGGAGTTCGAGACCAGCCTGGCCAACATGGTGAAATCCTGTCTCTACTAAAAATACAAAAATTAGCCAGGTGTGGTGGCAGGCACTTATAATCCCAGCTACTTGGGAGGCTGAGGCATGAGAATCGCTTGAACCCAAGAGGCAGAGATTGC